GGCGGAACTTGGCGCAGCCCGGGGGCGGGGGGCTTGTTTGTTTGTGGCTAGCACCTGGCACGACCACGCGCGCAAGATCGTGGCGCTCACAGACGGCACGAAGAGAAAGATGAGCACGAGACCCGCCGGCGTGAGGTCGAGGAGGCCGAGCGCCACCTCTGCAGGCCATGAAAAGACCGCCGCATCGTCAGTTTCGGCCAGCGCCGTCGGTGGCTCCGCAGCCCCTCGCCGAGCACGCCGCCAGCGAGCACAGAGCCGCAAGACAATGCCAGCAAAGAGGAGCAGGGCGATGACGCCGATGGGAGAGATCGCGACGGCGACGAGCCGGGACTTGTGCGGCAGGCACTGCACCGGCAGCACGATGCCCGACCAGTCGATGAAGACGGCTTCGGCCAGCGCCTCCGTCCAGCCCGTGTACCGTTCCGGCAGCCGCGCCGAGTAGGTGGTGGAGAGGACGAGGCAGACCTGGTAGAAGCCAAACAAGATCTTGAACTTGGGGATGAGGCCGATTTTGTAAATCGCGTCGCCGGTGCGGTCGGCGATGCGCAAGGGAAGTCCGATGAAGCGCTCCTTCCTCCATTCGGTTTGCCCGCGCTGAACTGAGTACGCCAACGCCACGAGGCCAAACGCGACGCAGAGGCCGAGGGCGGTGCCCGCCATGCGCCCCGCCGCCGTGCCGACAGCGACGCACTCGTTGCAGGCGGCGCCGTCGGCGTCCAGGTAGTGGTTCGGCTCGCGGCAGAGCTGGCACTCGGGGCCGGCGAAGGCGTCTGCGCAGTAGTCCAAACCGGCCTCCTGCACCCTCCGACCGCTAGCCTCTCCCGGATCAACATTGCCGACACACCGCGCCTGGCCCGCCTGGCCATCCCCTCCAAAGGCGCGGCACTCTGTGAGCTCGGCGCTGGAGAAGCTGGCGCGCCAGAAGCCCAGCGGGATCCCGAGGGTCTCGAGGGTCGTGCCGACCGGGCACGCGGCGTCCGATGGGCATGGCTTGCAGTAGTCGGTTGGGGATTTGAAGACGTCGGCCGGGTCGGCGCTCGCCTTCAGGTAGAATCCCGCCTTGCAGACGGAGCAGGTGACGCTGCCAGTGCCGCTGGCAAGAGGGTAGGGGCAGGGGATGCACTCGCCCTGGCCCTCGTTGGCGGAGTAAGTGTCGGCAGCGCACTCGTCGCAGGAAGAGCTGCCGGCGCCGGAGGACGTGCCGCGAGGGCACCTCTCGCAGATGCTCTGTCCGGCGAGGGCGGTGAAGGTGCCTGGCGAGCACGGCGTCTGCTCGGTGGAGCCCGTCACCGCAAAAAAGCCAGCATCGGCCGGCGTGCACTCGCTCGCGTCGGTGAGATTCGTCTTGTCCGAGTAGGTACCCGCATCGCACGGCAGCGGCGCCGACGCGCCCTTGGCGCAGTACCGTCCCTTCTCGCAGTCGCGGCAGGACGTCGCGCCCGTGTCGTTCTGGTAACGGCCCGCAGGGCAGTCCGTGCACTCACTCAGCCCGGGCTCGCCGCCAAACGTCCCAGCACGGCAGCTCGCGCAGGTCTCGCTGCTGTTTGCGCCGGTGATCGGGCTAGAGGTACCGGGGGGGCACTTCTGACAGGCATCTGGTGAGCTGCTGCCCGTCTTCTCGTTGTAGCTCCCCGCAGGGCAGGGCGTGAAGCCGCCACCGCAGTCATCTGTAGCCTTGCAGTATCCACCCGCTTCACACGTGTCGCATGCCGTCTGTCCGCGCTCCGCCTGGAACTCGCCAGCAGGGCACTGCATGCACGCAGCCTGGCCGGTGAGGTTCTGGTACTGCCCTGCGGCACAGTCGAGGGGCTGGATGGTGCCTGCATTCGGGCAGAAGCGTCCCGCGGGGCAGTCGGTGCAGCCGGTGGCGTTGAGCTGATCGGCGAACGTGCCGGGAGGGCACTCGTCGCAGGGGTGGACCGCGCCGGCTGTGGACTGGCTCGTCCCCGGAGAGCAAGGGAGGCACGACTCGGCACTGGCTGCGCCAATCACGGGCATGTAGAAACCAGGCGCACACGGGAGCGGTTCCGCTGTGCCCTTGGGACAAAAGTGGCCTCGCTTACACGCACCATCGCAGGAGGAGTTGGCGAGGCCGCTCGTGTTCCCAAAGTAGCCAGCAGGGCAGAGGTTGCACTCGGGGACGCTGAAGTCGCCAAAGAAGGTGCCCTTGCGCGGCATCCAGCTGCCCAAGCGGCAGGTCAAGTCTATCGGCGAGTTGATGGCCTGTATCGTGGCACCGTCGTTGTCGTCGCCAGCGGTGTTGCCGGTGAAGGAGGCGTCGCTGATCGAGGAGCGTTGGCGGAGTTCGTCCAGGTACAGCACCGAGCCTGAGATCGCCGCTCTGTTGTCGATGAAGTCGACACCCGCGATGGAGAGGGACTCGCTGTCCTCCGCGTAGACGACGCCGCCGACCTGCGGTTGCGAGGAGAGCGGGGTGAGGCAAGCCGTGGCCCTCTCTGTCTCCCGCCCCGCTGCCGTGCGGCGCTGCTGGAGTGCGGCTAGCTCTACGCGGCGCACGTTGTCAGCAGAGCAGTCCGACACATCCGAGTTGATGATCGAGACCGCACCGCTGCGCAACGCGTCGACGACGCCGCCCTCCTGCGGTTGCGAGGAGAGAGCGGGGGTGAGGCAGCCGTGGCCCTCTACATCTCTCGCCCCGCTGCCATGAGGGGCTGCTGGAGGCCGGCTAGCTCTACGCGGCGCACCCGGTCAGCAGAGCAGCCCGACACGTTCGAGCCGCTTATCGAGACCGCACCGCTGTTCACCGCGTTGACGACGCCGCCGTCCTGCGGTTGCGAGGAGAGAGCGGGGTGAGGCAGCCGTGGCCCTCTCTAACTCCCGCCCCGCTGCCGTGCGGCGCTGCAGGGGTGCGGCTAGCTCTACGCGGCGCACCAAGCCAGCCGAGCAGCCCGTCACGGCCGAGTCGATTATCGAGACCGCACCGCTGTTATCATACGCGTAGACGACGCCGCCGTCCTGCGGTTGCAAGGAGAGAGCGGGGTGAGGCCAGCCGTGGCCCTCTACATCTCCCGCCCCGCTGCCGGCGCTGCTGGAGTGCGACGCTGCTGGAGGCGGCTGACTCTACGCGGCGCACATTGCCAGCAGAGCAGTCCGACACATCTGAGTCGATGATCGAGACCGCACCGCTGCGAGACGCGGAGACGACGCCGCCGTACTGCGGTTGCGAGGAGAGAGCGGGGTGAGGAAGCCGCGGCCCTCTCCATCTCTCGCCCCGCTGCCGTGCGGCGCTGCTGGAGTGCGGCTAGCTCTACGCGGCGCACCCCGTACTCAGCCGAGCAGTCCCTAATCGTCGAGTCGATGATCTCGATGTCGCCTGCGCCGTCCGCGTACACAACGCCGCCGTTGCCCGCCCTCCCGTTGACGAGGGTCAGCCCCCGTAGGGTGAGGCTGCAGCCGCCCGAGAGGCGAACGAGCCCGGTCTGTTCCTGGCCGTCGAGCGTCGCGCCCTCGCCGCTGCTCGCGACGGTCACCTTGATGGTGGAGGCGCAGCTGATATGGCTGTCCAGCTTGAAGTCTGCCCTGGGCGGCAGGTAGATTGAGACGTCGGCTTGCGAAACAGCAGCCTCCGCGATCAGGGAGCGGAGCTCGGCCTCGCTCGCCGCGGCGACAAAGCCGGGGGAGAGCGGCGGCAGAGGCGACAGAGGCGGCGGCGGCGGAGAGGGCGGCGCCGGCGGCGGCAGCGACGGCGGCGACGGAGAGGACGGAGGGAGGGGGGCGAGGATGAACGTCTCGCTGCCGTAGGATCCGGCGTAGAGCGTGAACGTATAGCCCGCACCCTCCCACAAGTTGCCGCTCCAGCCGTCGCCCCACGAGTCGTACATGTTGAGCGTGCACTCGCCGAGCGGCGCGGACAGGGTGCCGGAGTAGGGGGCCCCTCCACTGCCGATCAACGCGCCGCTGCACGTCAGGGTCCACGACACCTCGGACGGGTAGCTGCCGCCACCCACAGTGACCTGGAAGTCGCCCGAGCCAGACGTGTGGGCTGATGGTGCACATGCCAGCGGGAGCAGCGCGGCGAGAATCAGCAGCCACGCGCCACGCCTCGCCCCCGTCCGGCACCGCACGAGGCGCCCCGAGCTGCTCCTCCGCACCGAGAGCAGCACGCCGCCGCACGCTCCGAGCAGCAAGAACAAGGCGGCCCAAAACTGACAGCGCTGCTGGGTGCGGACAGGCGCGGAAGAGGAGGGTCCGCTCATGAAGGGAAAGTGGAACGGGGAGGGCAGGTCGATGGAGAGCTTGTCGACCGGCGGGTTCGCGGGCGGCTTGTCGGTCTTGCAGCGCTCGTCGGTGAGTGCGTGGTGAGGCTCCGCATGCCACGCAACGGGGGCGGCGCAGCGTGGCTGCCGGTCGGCGCACACACGTGAGACGGAGGAGATATCGGACTGGACCGAGTTCGAATCGGAGATCTGAGCGGCACGGACCTCTGCAGGCCATGCCGGCTCCGCGAGAAGAGGGTCGATGGCCCGGCCAAGCTGGAGGAAGAGATCCTTGGTTGTGGCTGGAGAAGCGGTCGCCAATCTGTTCACCCGCCACTCGCCGCCGGCGTGCATGCTAGAGACGGGCGCGCCGAGGCCAGTCTCAACCAGCTTCTCGGGCGTGTTCCCAGCGTCGGCGGACCGCATCTCGGGCAACGTGCCGTTCACGGGCAGGACGGTTTCGCGAACGATGATCCCCGATCTGCTGCTGTAGACGGGACCGATAGAGTCGATCTCGGGCTCGCCCTTGCGCTCCATGCTGTTGCGCGAGGCCGGGGCGGTCTCCAAATCGGCCTCAACCTACACGCCAACAACAGGCACAATCCGGAACCGGATTACAAAGCTCGCACATAGAAACAGCCAGAGGGGCGCTCACCGGCTGCTTCTCGTAAAGGTCCTTGACGGACGCCGGCGGCTCGCCAATCAGGTGCAACGGCTCGCCCACCGCCTCTTTGATCGCTTCCATCAGTGCTTCCCACGAGCTCCCGTCCTCGTGCCCGCCCTGAACAGCGCGCGGACTGTTAGTCACGAGCTGGCGAATACTAGCACGCTCGAGCGAGCGCGCACCGGGTGGTTGGCGGGCGCGCTGTCCGATGACACGATGGCTGCAAACGAGCTGGTGTCGTTGCCGCCAACCTCGCAGAAGCCGTTGGGCGATGCCGGCGTGAACGGCTTTGCGACGGTTGCGGGAGGCGATGTCGGCCACGGGGAGTCGTGCCGCTGCGAGGAGAGAAGCGCGGAAGTGGCAGAGTACGAGGAGTGCGCAAACGCGGCTCCGAGGCAGATCAGCGCGAGGATGCCAAAGAGGCGGAGCAAGTTGTAGGACTTTGACCACGGGAACCGGCCGGCGGCAGAGCCCTCGAGCGTGGTATTCGTGGTCGTCTCGACGTCGACCGTCGCGCCCTGAACAAGAGGGCGCAAGACTGGCCGTGTGAGAGCGGCGAGCGAGGGAGGAGGCCGCATAAATGCAGGCGGCGCGCACCGAGTCTGCGGTCGGCGGCGTGGAGCCGCCGGTCACCTTGCCGGTGCCACCGAGGATGCCCTCGTTGCCGTCCGTTCCGAGCAGGGCCCCGAACCTGTTCTTGCCGCCGACCGGGGTGATGCTCTTGGTGCGGACGATCGGGGCGGATGCGCCCTTGCGCCCCTTCTTGCGGCGCGGGTTCGACGGGGTTGTCCGGTCGGAGATACCCTGCGCGCGCGCAAGCGGTGGGTGCGTCAATAGTTGAGGCTCTGCGCGTGCACCGCAGCCGATCGGCGCCGTGGCGGGCTTCACCCCCGGAAATTCCTTGGCCGAGACGGGCCAGTCGGCGTCGCCCTGCGCAATGAAAGCGGGGTGGGGTCGAGGAGTGGGTCGGCAGACGCACGGCGCAGAATGCAAGGCGCTCGCCGCCGGGGCGGGCGTCTCCACCGGAAACTCCTCGCTCGACGGCAGCGGCGCGCCGCCGGTCGCCGCCGGCGTGAGAGCCGGGGCACTTTTGGTGACGCCGTTGGGGGCCGTCGGTGGGTCCATCGGAGTGGTGTTCTTGGAGCAGTCGACCAGGCTGGGCTCGCCCTTGCGCTCGATCTTGCGGAGCGGGGAGGGGGTCGTCCACTCGTCGATGCCCTGCGCGTGTGCGAGAGGCCACAGGGTCAATATGAGTACCGCACGTGGGACTCCCGTGTCCCGGCAATACCCATGTCCATGTGTGACGTGCTCGATCGAGAGGGCGAATGCAAATCGTGTGAGCGTACAGCGGTGCAGGAGACGCTGCAGGGGGCTGCAGGGCGCTCACCGCCGAAGCCGTCTCCTCCGGGAACGTCTTGGCCGACGCCGGTGTCTCGTCGTCCTGGTAGCAGGGGCTCTCCAAGGAGAAGGCTTGCGCGAGGACACCCAGCGCCTGCCAAACGCGCTCGACGAGGAGGGCCGCCGCCTTGGAGTTGTCGGACACGCACAGCATCTCCTGCAGATCTTGGATGTCGTTCTCCAAGAACATCCCGGTGATCTTGCCGGCCCACACGCTGTTGAGCGTCGACACGATGTAGTGGATGCGGTTGCCAATGCAAGAGGTGTCCATGCATTGCGACGACTCTGTCGCCACCCGAGCCAACGCCACCCACCCCGCCAGCAAGACCATGTCGATGGCCACGCCCAGCTGCGAGTTGAGCTTATCCGCGAGCTCGGCTGCCGCGCGCCAGTCATCGCCCGTGGGCCAGAGCAGGATCATCTCGTCCTCGAGCGATGCGGGCTCGCCGTTGGACGGGGTGACGTCCTCGAGCGATGCGGGCTCGCCGTTGGACTTGGTGGCGGACTCCTCGGCGGCGGCGGACTTGGTTGCGGAGGACTCCTCGGCGACGGCGGACTTGGTGGCGGAGGACTCCTCGGCTGCGGCGGACTTGGTGGCGGAGGACTCCTCGGCGGCGGCGGACTTGGTGGCGGAGGACTCCTCGGCGGCGGCGGACTTGGTGGCGGACTCCTCGGCGGCGGACTTGGTGGCGGACTCCTCGGCGGCAGCAGACTTGTTGTCGGACTCCTCGGCGGCGGCGGACTTGGTGGCGGAGGACTCCTCGGCTGCGGCAGACTTGGTGGCGGACTCCTCGGCGACGACGGCCTCAGTGGCGGACTCCTCGGCGGCGGCCTCCTCGGTGGCTGCCTCCTCGGACTCCTCCTCGGTGGCGGACTTGGCGGCGGCCTCCTCGGTGGTCGCCTTCTTGGTGGCCGCCTCCTCGGCGGTCGCCTCCTCGGTGGCCGACTCGGCGTCCTCCTCGGCGGCGGCGGACTTGGCGGCGAGCTCCTCGGCGGCGGCGGACTTGATGCCGCACGCCTGGGTGAGGGGAGAACACGCAAGTGTGCGGAGACAGGGAGACCGTAGAGATGATGACAATCCTGGCGTGCGCACACTCACCTCGGCTCCGAGGTGCGACGGCGGCGACGACAAGTAGATCTCGTCCACATCGCCGTCGGGCTTGGCCGTGTCCACTGCGGGCTTGGGCGCGGCCTTGACGTCGTCCTTGACGCCGCACGCCTGTGGGCGAGAGCGGACGCAGCTGTTCCGAGACGGGGAGATTGCACGGATGTGCTCTTGGCGTGCGCACACTCACCTCGGCTCCGAGGAGCGAAGGCGACAGCGACGTGATGCCGACAGGAGCCGTCGGCGCAGACTCGGACGGGACGTCATTGCCGTTGCCGATGACGTCATTGAGCGACGCGGGCTCGCTCTTGGACGAGATGCCGTCGTGCTTGCCTCCGGCAGAGTCGATGACGGACAAGGGCGGTGACGGAAGTGGCGGGCACGAGGTTTTGTCGACGGTGAACGTGAGGCGCCGCGAGGTCTCGGCGCCGGCGAACGATGCGCCTACCGACGCCGCAAACACGACGCCGACGTACTCGAGCGAAACGGGCTTGCCCTCGGACGGGGTGACGTCCTCGAGCGAAGCGGGCTCGCCCGACGGGATGACGGACGGGATGACGTCCTCGAGCGAAGCGGGCTTGCCCTCGGACGGGATGCCGGCGGCCTCGCCTCCGGCAGCGTTGACGGTCGTGTTGCCCGCCAGCGACGCCTGTGTCAGCCAGAAGGCCAGAGGATACGTCTTGCAGGTGGGAGCGCATTGTCACGTGCGCGCAAGCACAAGCCTGCTTGTCAGCAAGCGGCGGCGGCGGAGGAGAGAGCTTGAGCACGAGCTTGTCACCGGCGGCCGGCACCAGCTCGCGTTTGAGCTTGTCGAGCATGTTGATCGAGTTCCTGCAGCGCGCGGGGGTATGCACGCCAAAGAGAGTCAATAGATGCAGCTCATGGAAAGGCTGTGTGACGGGTTCATGTGAAGGCTGTGTGAAGGACAACGTGTGGAAGTAAAGTGCTACTGGTTGGAGTTAGTGGAGACTGTGCAGAGCACTCCTATTATTACTGATTACTGGAGACTGTGCAGAGCACTCCTATTATGACTGAGGACTGGAGCCTGTGCAGAGCACTCGTGTATGACTGGTTACTGGAGACTGCAGAGCACTACTATTATTACTGGGGACTGGAGACTTGTGCGGAACACTCGGCGAACGGAGAGGTCAGCACCTACGGGATCATGACCATGTGAAAGAGGGTCAAAAACTGCTATGGAGATGTCCAGGGGGTATATGGGGTATATGGGCGTATATGGGCGTATATGGGGTATATGGGGAGGATGGAGAATATCTCGAGGAATCTCCGAGAATTGGATCAATCGTCGCAATTTCCACCCGGGGGCCCCCTTTCCCCAGGGCCCCCCCCCCCCCCCCACCCCACCCCTCCCCACAGGCCCTCCCGTCCCTTTCGAGCCTCGCCTGCACAGACAAAAAGAAATCGCCCGCGGACCCGTGGTGGTTTGCCTAATGAAGGCAGAGCCCGTGCTCAAAAAAAAAAAGAGAGGGGGGGTCGATCCAGGTCACTCCCCCCCCAGTCCCCCCCCCCCCCCCACACGCCCTCCCCTCCCCTTCGAGCCTCGCCTACACAGACAAAAAGAAATACGCGTGGGGGTTTGCTATGAAGGCAGAGGCCATGCTCAAAGTGAGAGAGAGAGAGAGAGAGTGTCGAGCCAGGTCACTGCCACACCTACGGGCAGCACGCCTCGGCGTTAGCATCGCGACGACCGGCACACTCTCTCGTGTCCTCGGCGCTAGGACTGGAGCCGGGCAGCGATTGGCAAGCGAGCGGGCTGCGTCGCTCTCTCGCCGGAAGAGAGTGGGGGCAATCGGGCGGGTTCGCTCGGTGGAAGGGTGGGGAACGAGCGGCAGCGGCCGCGTCTCGCGGCTCCCCGATGGCAGCAGCCTCACCTGCGAACGGGAGGTGGCAGGAAATGTGAGGCCGAGGGGGGCGTAGCCGCTCGGGCGCCAAATCGAAGCGCATCGCATGGTGGGAGCGGAGAGGGAGCGGCGGGTTGCGCGAGCGAGATGCGTCGCGCCGCTCGGGCGTGCAGCTCCCCGCGGCCATATGTGCGTCGACGCGGCGGGGCAAGCGCGAGCGGAACGGGAAAGGCGAGGGTTGGACCTTGTGAGCCCCACGTCGAGGGGAACGTGGGGATCTGTCAGGATCGAGTAGTTCCGGGAGGTTTCTCATATGAAGGGTACTATTTTCAATCAAAAACAGCGGCTTCAGCACAACTATTTCGAGGTCTCGCGGATCTTGGACCTGTGGACCTGTGGCGACGTCGAGGGGAATGTGACGCGCGCTTTTGGATATCTATAAAGAAGGACACCGAGATAGCCAGCCGAACGCCCCGCCTCGATCAAAAAGAGCGCCTTCGGCACTACTCTCTCGAGGTCTCGCGGATCTTATAAATCAGCCGAACGGCCAAGGGCAACCCCGCAAGACTAACTACTAAAACAAAGAAGGGCGTGGCAAGTACTAACTAACTAGCCCGGTCGAACACTGAAACAAATAAATTCCCCCTTTGAGCTGAGAGGTCAAGGTGTGCACTTTTTTTGCTTGGGCGGACCTGATGACGGGGTAGGTAGGGTAGGTCTGGGCCCTCCCGTCGGGGTTTTCCCTCTCTTCAAGCTGGAATTTTCACAGCAGAATCAGAAAATTTCCGCGGAAATCACGATGGGCCCCGCTCTTTCCCTCGCATAGCGGCCACTCTTCGGATCGCTGGTCGAGCGACCCGGGGGATGCCCCGCGCGCCTGACCCAGGCGCGAAAACGAATCTGCGAGGCGTGGCCGCTCACGCGGCCCGATGGGGAGGAACGGGGCGAGCCCCCTCCAACCCACCCGCGCTAGGTCTCGGGGGACGAAGGGGTCACACCCGACGACCTCGGGAACTAGCCGGGGCAGTCGGAGAAGGGGCAACTCCGTGCACTGACGGTCGGCCGCCAGAAAACACGCCTGCGTGGATCGGGTTACACCAATCCTCGCTACCCAACGCGGCCAAAGGATATCCACCTCGAGAACCTCGAGAGACGATGTCAACCCTCCCCAAATGGGTGATCTGATGCTGGTAGGGCTTGAGAGTGGCCTGCCATGTCACAAGAAGGACTGTGGTTGCAGGAGAGTACCACCAACCATCACTCTAGTTGGTATAGTACCCCACCTTCACCCATCCAGTGATTTCTTTTTTAGTTTCCCATAAGTAAGGTAGGTAGGTAGGTAGGTAGGTAGGGGCAGGGCAGGGGCCGGCCAGGTTTTTGCAGAATAGTTAGAGGCTGCGCAGGCCGTCCCGTTTGCTGTTTGCATAAAAAACGCCTGTTGCGCCGCGCTGCGCGCACCGCGCAGCAGCGCGCGCGCGCCCCGCCGGGGCTCTGTCTCACCCACGTGCCGCAATACGTGTCACACACGGCGGCTTCTGCGACCTCTCGATTGGTTCCACTTTCTACGCACACCTACCGGGGAAGGGGCGCTTGGGAGCGGGGGCGGGGGCGGGGGCGTTGGGCCAGGTACCAATTTTGTCGAATTTATTTCAAAATCTGCAGGCGCTCCGCGCCTGCGAAAATTTTGAAGAAATTTGCAGTCGGGCCTGATTTTCATCAAGATCTTTCAAATTTGCGGTGTGGAGTTGGGGGGTGGGTTAGGTTAGGGTTATTAGGGTTAGAGGGTTAGGGTTAGGGTTAGGGTTAGGGTTAGGGTCAGGGTTAGTCTGGTTGTGTCTGTATATGCCAGCGTTGCAGGGTTCTGCGCTGGGATCTGGCCCCACAGCGCCGACGACTAAACTCAGCCCCACACGCTGACCTAGGGTTAGGGTTAGGGTTAGGGTTAGGGTTAGGGTTAGGGTTAGTCTTCTTGTGTTTGTATGCCAGCGTTGCAGAGTTCTGCGCTGGGATCTGGCCCCAGCGCCGACGAGTAAGACTCAGCACCGCACGCTGACCCCACCAAATGCCGCCTCAGGGCGCCAGGCCGCCAGCCACTTCTTACACGCGGCCGGCGCCCTCTCGCGGCAAAAGGGTCGAGCGAGCGGGCAGAGTCGCGATGTCTGCGCACCCGCGTGCCGATGGGCGGCACACGCAACCGAGAGAGGCCCTGTCGCGCCGCCAGTAGCGTTCTCCGCACTCCCCACGCCACCAATTGCCGCCTCAGGGCGCCAGCCACCTCTTACACGCGGCCGGCGCCCTCTCGCGGCAAAAGGGTCGAGCGAGCGGGCAGAGTCGCGCGATGTCTGCGCATCCGCGTGCCGATGGGCGGCACACGCAACCGAGAGAGGCCCTGTCACGCCGCCAGTAGCGTTCCGCACTCTCCCCACGCCACCAATTGCCGCCTCAGGGCGCCAGCCACCTCTTACACGCGGCCGGCGCCCTCTCGCGGCAAAAGGGTCGAGCGAGCGGGCAGAGTCGCGATGTCTGCGCACCCGCGTGCCGATGGGCGGCACACGCAACCGAGAGAGGCCCTGTCACGCCGCCAGTAGCGTTCTCCGCACTCCCCACGCCACCAATTGCCGCCTCAGGGCGCCAGCCACCTCTTACACGCGGCCGGCGCCCTCTCGCGGCAAAAGGGTCGAGCGAGCGGGCAGAGTCGCGCGATGTCTGCGCACCCGCGTGCCGATGGGCGGCACACGCAACCGAGAGAGGCCCTGTCACGCCGCCAGTAGCGTTCTCCGCACTCCCCACGCCACCAATTGCCGCCTCAGGGCGCCAGCCACCTCTTACACGCGGCCGGCGCCCTCTCGCGGCAAAAGGGTCGAGCGAGCGGGCAGAGTCGCGATGTCCCTGCGCACCTGGGTGTTCGCCGCCTATATGCTCTATCCTGTGCCAAGACGGACACATTTTGACAATCAAAATCTACCTCAAAATTTGCGGCCGCCCCTCGAAATTTGCTGATCAAAATTTGCGGTGGCCCGGATCGAAACCTGTACTTTGGCCAACGGGGGCGGGGGCGGGGGTGGGGGCGGGGGCGCCCAGCGCGCGGCGTACGCGCGCGCGCAACAGAGTTTACAACAGAGCGTAGGGTGGGGAAGACGGCGAGGAGGGGGCGGCGGCGGCGGCGGCGGCGGCGGCGGCGGCGGCAGCGCGCGCGCGGCGCGCGCGACGGAGGGGCGGAGCAGCGACCGCTGCAGCGGTCGCTGCTCCGTCTGTGACAGACGCGCGCTCTGCCGCTGCAGAGCGCGCGCGTCAGGGCAAGGGGCATGCGTGGCGGCGCGGGACGCGCAGCGGCGGCGGCGAGCAGCCGAGCGCTCCGTGAGCGGTGAGGCGGCCGGGCGAGGGCGCGGCGGGTGACGGGTCAAGGGAGCAGCCCACACCCGGCGTCGCTTTTTGAGCGACGCCTGTGGTACGCCTGCGCAGGGGCCGCAGGGCGGTCAGTTGTGGGGCGAGGCGGTGCCGGCCGCGGGCCGGGTGCAAGGCGCCGGCCTCGGCGCCGCCTCGGCGCGCCGCACGGGCCGCGGCGGGTGACGGGTCAAGGGAGCAGCCCACACCCGGCGTCGTTTTGAGCGACGCCTGTGGTACGCCTGCGCAGGGGCCGCAGGGCGGTCAGTTGTGGGGCGAGGCGGTGCCGGCCGCGGGCCGGGTGCAAGGCGCCGGCCGAAGGTTTGCCTGTGGGAGGTGGTAGGTGGTAGGTGTGAGAGTTTTTTGCCGCAGAGGCCGTCCCTAGCTGTGAACAGCAAAACGGGACAGTATTTCATCATCAGGTCCGCCCAAGCAAAAAAAGTACACACTTGCAGGAGGTGCGCACCTCCCAGTGGAAGCACAGGATGCTCCCTCCGCATACGCAGCTTTGCGCAGCGCAGCGTACGGGCCACGCCACGCAAAGCCGACCCTCAGTCTGCCCGAGAGGCTGTCGGAGGAAGGCCTGGCAAGCGTGTACTCGCCTCCTCCGCGGCCATGCCCTCCGCCCGGGCGAGCGAGGAGCGGGGACACCACCATTTCTGGAATTGTGTGTCCCCGCAGTTCTGGTTTTTTCCGCCGTTTTCCATTCTTTTTGTTTTTCCCAAACTCGGGGCTGTAGCGGGTGCCGCAAAGCGCCATGGGACGTATTTTCTTGTCAACAACAAGGTCTCAATAACATATAACAAGGTCTGTGAAGCTCGCCGAGCAGACGAGAGAGAGAGAGAGAGAGAGAGAGAGAGAGAGAGAGAGAGAGAGAGAGAGAGAGAGAGAGAGAGAGAGAGAGAGAGAGAGAGAGAGAGAGAGAGAGAGAGAGTCCGAGACACAAAAGAGAGACGATCACGAGGCCTCAAGACCGCTAGCGCAGCGACTGTATTCACCCCTCGATCGCCCCGATCGCCTCCGTCATCGCGGCCACGAGCCGCGACGCCTCCCGCTCGCTGCGCGGCCCGTCCCTCCTCCACCTCGCCGCGTCGTGGTGCCTCGCCGCGTTCGCCCAGATGCGCAGCGAGTGCAGCTGCCTCCGCAGCTCGGTCGGCAGGCCGCACTCGCGGTGCCAAAAGTTGATGCGCTCCTCGAAGCCGTCGGGCGCCGCCGCAGAGTGCGAAGCGTAGACGGCGTCGAGGCGCGGCATCAGCGTCTTGAAGGCGAGCAGCATGTTGTCCTGGATGCGCGCCTGCGCGTCGCCGCCCGTGCGCATGCCGCGCACCTGCACCGAGAGCGGCGAAGGCTCGTAGCCGGTGGTGCGGGCGGCTGCCGCAGCGGCCTCGTCTCCAGGTGCCGGCGCAGCCTCCTCCACCCCCGCCCCGCCCTGCGCGCCAGAAAGCAGCGCCCGGAGAGCTAGCAGCACCTCGGGCAGCGTGGGCCGCTTGCGCAGGCTGTCGTGGCAGAGGCTCTTTCCGTCCGCCTTCGCGAGATCCTTTACCGCGCGTGCCGCGATGACTGGCCAGCCCGCAGCCACGTCCGAGAGCTTCGCCGCGTCGATGTCGGTCCAGTCCTCCTCGAACTCGTCCTCGCACCGGTCGGTGAGCTGCACCTCGGACCGGTTGGTGAGGCAGACGAGGAGGGTGATGCCGATGGCGTAGCCGTCCGTCTTGCTCGAGTACTCGCCCCCCTTGGAGATGGAGGGGCAGAGGTAGCCAGTGGACATGTAGAGGGCGGTCGAGCGACAGCGGACAGAGGCGTCGGGACGCTGGTCCTTGGCGAAGCCCGTGTCGGCGAGCACGGCGGTCAGCTCCTCGTCGAGCAGGATGTTGTCCGGCTTGACGTCGCGGTGCACGATGCCCTTCGAGTGGAGGTAGACGAGCGCCTCGGTCGCCTCGCAAGCGACACGAACGCGCTGCCGCCACGTCAGCGGCCTCGGCGGCTCTTCCATGCCCAACCGCCGGAGCTGCGCAGCGCGGTCGGGATCCGAGATGCGCAGCCGCGCCTCGAGCGAGCCGCCGCGCATCAGCGGCGAGAGGAGGCAGACGCCGTCGGGCGAGAGGCAGTAGCCGAGCAGCGGCAGCAAGTGCGGGTGGCTCACCGCCTTGAGAAGCTTCACCTCGAGCTCTGCCCGCGACAAGCCGCCCGACTGGCCCGACTTTGCCCGCTTGACGACGAGCGGCAGGTGGCGCAGCTGCGGCGGCGCGGCGAGGGAGAGGTGGAGGTCGGCCGACGCCTCGTAGACGTGGCTGAAGCCGCCGCTGCCAATCAGCTTGCCCTCCGCAAACCCGTCGGTAGCCGCGGTGAGGTCCGACAGGGCTAGCTCGACGGGCCGAGCAACAGCCGCTTCCGCCGCGGCCGGCGCGGCGGCGACAGACAGAGTTTCCAGCTTCGACTCCGCCGCGCTCACCTCCTCGGCCAACGCAGGCAACGCGCCCACGTGCGTCCTGGCGGCGGCGATGCCCGCACGCAGCGCGGAGGGGCTGTCTGCGGTGTCGAGCGACTTGAGCGCGCCCATCGCCGCGCCATGCGCCTTGCGCAGCCGCTGGCTGTCCCGCCTCCGCGCCTCCTTGAGCTCGTCGTGCGCGCGCCTCGCCGCCGCCAGCACGGCCGGGCTCGCGAGGCCGCTGCACGCCTCCAGCGCGCTGGCCACGCCCTCGTACGAGCCAGCGGCCACGGCCTGCTGCAGCGCCTCGTCCGCCGCGGCGATGGCGGCTGCGTCGGCGGGCGGAGGAGATGGGGCTGGCGGAGGGATTGGCGGCGGCAGAGCGGCGGTGGCGCTGGGGCCAGGCGCCGAGACAAGTGCCTCGCCGCCGCCGCTCTTCTTCTTCTTCTTCTTCTTCTTGCCCGTGTTGCTCTTTGCGCGCTCCTCCTTCTCCGCCTCCTCCTCCGCCAGCAGCGCCTCGGCATGCCGCGCCGCCTCCGCCTCTGCCGCGGCTCTCTCCACCTCCCTTGCCGTTGCCTCCGCCGCCGCCTCCGCCGCCGCATGCTCCTCGAGGGCGCGCACACACTCGGCGTTGCCATTCTCCTTCGCCCACTGCAGCGCCGTTCCGCCATCCTCAGAGCGCGCCGCCGCGTCTGCGCCCGCCCGCAGCAGGCGGAGCACGATGGCGGGGTGGCCTTGGATGGCGGCGCATATCAGCGCGGTCCAGCCGTCGCTGTCCTGCAGGTTGACCTCAGCGCCGCGCCGAATCAGCAAGTCGATCACCCGCTCGTGGCCGTTGCCGGCGGCGAGCAGCAGCGCGGTGCTGCCCCCGCTGTTCTGCTGGTTGATCTTCGCCCCGCGCTGCAGCAGCAGGTCGACCACCCGCTCGTGGCCTTGGTGGGTGGCGCAACTCAGCGCGGTGTAGCCGTTGCTGGTCTGCAGGTTGATCTCCGCGCCGTGCCGAATCAGCAGCTCGACCACCTGCTCGTGGCCGTTGGCGGCGGCGCGAATCAGCGCGGTGACGCCGTCGCTGTCCTGCTTGTTGATCTCCGCGCCGCGCTGCAGCAGCAGCTCGACCACCCGCTCGTGGCCGTTGAGGGCGGCGCCCATCAGCAACGTGATGCCGCTCGCCTCGCCTCTCTCGCACGTCGCGTCGACCCGCCCGCCGCCGTCGAGCCACGCCAGCAGCGCCGCCTCCTCGCCTCGCTCCGCCGCTAGCATGACCCCTTCGGAAACGCCGCCGGAAGAAGCCGCGGCCCCCGCCCCCGCCGCCGCCTCGCCCGAGGAAGCGCCGCCCGCGCCACCGCCCGCCGCCCCCTCGCGCCGGCCCGCCTTGGTCACCTCCGTGACGTGCTGCCGGAAGGCCTCGACGCACGCGGCGTGGCCCTTCTCCTTGGCCATCTGCAGCGCTGTCTTGCCGTCCTCAGAGCGCAGTGCCGTGTCCACGCCCGCCCGCAGCAAGCGCCGCACGACGGCGGGGCGGTTGAAGAAGGCGGCGCACATCAGCGCGGTGCCGCCGCCGCTGTTCTGCAGGTTTATTTCCGCCCCGCGCTGAAGCAGCAGCTCGACCGCCCGCTCGTGGCCCTCCTGGGCGGCGGCCATCAGCGTGGTGGAGCCGTTGCTGTCCTGCAGGCTGATCTCCGCCCCGCGCTGAAGCAGCAAGTCGACCACCCGCTCGTGGCCTTGGATGGCGGCGAACATCAGCGCGGTGCGGCCTTTGCGGTCCTGCAGGTTTATTTCCGCCCCGCGCTGAAGCAGCAGCTCGACCACCCGCTCGTGGCCGTGCTGGGCGGACAGCATCAGCACGGTGCCGCCGTCGCTGTCCTGCAGGTTGGCCTCCGCGCCGCGCTGCAGCAGCAGCTCGACCACCCGTTCGTGGCCCTCCTGGGCGGCGAACATCAGCGCGGTGCGGCCGTTGCTGTCCTGCAGGTTTATTTCCGCACCGCGCCGAAGCAGCAGCTCGGCCACCCGCTCGTGGCCGTTGTTAGCGGCGTCCATCAGCGCTGTAAGTCCTTTGCTGTCCTGCACGTTGATCTCCGCGCCGTGCCGTAGCAGCAAGTCGACCACCCGCTCGTGGCCGCTGCTGGCGGCGACCATCAGTGAATTGATGCCGTGGCTGTTCTGCATGTTGACCTGCGCGCCGCGCTGCAGCAGCAGCTCGACCACCCGCTCGTGGCCTTGCTGGGCGGCGTACATCAGCACGGTGATGCCGTTCGCATCGCCCGTCCGGCCAGTTGCGTTGACCCGCCCGCCGCTGTCGAGCCACGCCAGCAGCGCCGCCTCGTCGCCTCGCACAGCCGCCATCGCCGCCTCCTTGGAAAGGCTGCCCAGGGAAGAGACCGTCTCCGCCATAGCAGGTCTCGGGCGAGTGGAGGCCCCGCCCACCCACACACCCAGGGTACCCTCTCTCGAGGGACCCATTCGAGGGCTCGCCGGGGCTCTGCTCCAAGAGACCTCGGGAGAGCGTGCGTGTGCCTCTACTCGCCAGAGCAGTTGTAATTCCTCCGGTGTGTCTCACTCACTAATACCCCTCTGGCTCCGCCTCTCTCCGCCCTCGGTCTCGGGCACCGCACCCGTGCTGCCACAAAGCACAATGTGCTGCCACAAAGCACCACTAGCGATTTCGCGCGGAGGGCGTAGTGAAGTGCTGGGGCGCTCACTGTGTGTTATTCGGGTGGGGATCCATCAGTGGTAAGCGGCTTTAGTCACAGATCCAAGCTCAGACGTCACACCAACACCACAAACACGCTCACTTCGCCGCTGCTGTAGATGGGCCTCCGGGGGCCCATGCTACGTCGAAGCACAGACCCGATCTCGGCACTCACGGGCTGCCACGCGCCCGCGCGCGGCGCGGGCCGCATCGCCCATGCCCCCGGGTCACCAACCCCGCCTCTCGGCCCTCTCGGCCCTCAGGAGCGTGCGGGAGACCGGCGAGGGGCGCGCCGCGTGCCGCCTGCAGAGCCGCCAGAGGCATTGTGTCGCCTCCGCTGGCGGGGTTCCCGCGCACCCGCCCGCGCCCGCGCCCGCCCACGCCGCGCCCGCGGGCTCCGGATGCGCCGCGCTCCTTCTCCTTCTTCTCGATGGCAGTCCGCACGTGCTTGTCGACGGGTCGGCGGCGTGGTCGAGGGGAAGGTCGCCGGCGGCCGCAACTCCGCCGCCGTCGCTCCGCCGGCTCTGATCGAGTATCGGGCGTTGAGGACGGCGGCGCAAAGCGGGTCTGGCGCATCCATCGCCACGAGCCTCGCGGCCGCGGTCGTGGCACACCTGGTGGCGGCTCTCGGGGCCGTCTCTACGGCGCTCGACGCCGTGTGAGGTCGCCGGCGGCCGCAACTCCGTGTCTCCGCCGCCGTCGCTCCGCCGGCTCTGATCGAGTATCGGGCGTTGAGGGCGGCGGCGCAAAGCGGGTCTGGCGCATCCATCGCCACGAGCCTCGCGGCCGCGGTCGTGGCACACCTGGTGGCGGCTCTCGGGGCCGTCTCTACGGCGCTCGACGCCGTGTGAGGTCGCCGGCGGCCGCACCTCTGCCGCCGTCGCTCCGCCGGCTCTAACCGAGTATATCGGGCGTTGAGGGCGGCGGCGCAAAGCGGGTCTGGTGCGCCACGGCCACCACCCTTGCCACCGCCCTTGCCGCCGCCCTTGCCACCCTTTGCCGCCTTGCCTCCGCCGCGGGCGGCGGTGGGAGCGGCCTGCTGGGCTAGCATGTTGTCCTTGCTGGGGACGGGCACGTGGAACGCACGTTACATGTTCGAACGGCCTCCGGGATTCAAACGAAAAATAGCCGGGGCCCTCTCGCAACCCATCCGACCCCCCGGGACCCGTGGGCGTCGAAGAGGCGCTCTCGGGGGGCCGTTCTGAGTTCATGCTACCACGAAGCACACTGTGCTGCGTCAAAGCACCGGCCCCGAGTCCGCCCTCGCCTCGTGGTCCGCCCTCACCGCGAGCGCCTCCCTCGCGTCGTCGAGCGCGCGCCTCCAGTTCTTGAGCGAGGTGTGCGCCGCCGCGCGGTTGGCGAGCAGCGTCGCGCGCAGCCTCGCGTCGCGCGGCCTCTCGGCGAGACCTTCGCTGTACCGCTCCACCGCGAAGGAGGCGGCGTGCGGCTCGCGGGAGCGCATCGCCTCGTTCCCCTTCCCCGTTTCCATTCTTTTTCCTGTGTTAGTGCCAGTGCGCTGTTGTGCGAGGGAGAAGGGTAAAATAGTAAGGGGAGGGCTCCCAGGGCTTGGAGGTCTTTTTAGTTGCAACCATGATGATAGGCAAGGCGTTCAGGAAAGTGAAAGAAGAGGACATGGTTCGACCTCCCGTGCGAGATGTGTGTCGCGACCCCTCGTCGCGGACACCTCCCGACACGGTGTGAAGACAACAGTCAACACAACTCCTCTCTCGACCGCTACTACGCCGCCGCTCTTCTCACTGCGCAGCTCACGGCTCTCCCTCCTGTTCCATCTCCTCCTCCTTCGCCGCCTCCTTCGCCTTCTTCGCCGCCTCCTCCGCCCGCTTTGCGGCCCTCTCCGTCGGCGTCAGTTTGACGAACTTGACCTCGTCCTCCTTGCCGATCACGGCCTTGAACTCCTTGTGGTAGAGGCAGGTCACCGACCTCACACCCTTCGTCGTCTTGGTGAGGTTGTGGTCCTTTGAGCCGCAGAGCGCGCAGCCGTACTCCCGCTTAGAAGCCGGCTGCAGCGGCGGCGTCCCCGGCGGCGTCTGCGGTCCGGCCTGGGGGGGAGGGGGGGGCGGTGGAACCGCACAAGGAGTGAGGGGGGGGGGGGCGACAGTCGCGCGTGGGGTGGGAGCTCGTTGCCACGTACGCCTCATATGCTACCATCCGACGGTTGAAGCCCGCGACCGACTCTGCCGAAAACCTGTATGGCCAGAATGTCCCTGTGCCCGATGGCCAGCCATCTGCGTCGAGAGGGCAGCTGTCAAGTTCCTCCTCAGCTCTCCCCTCATTGGGCGTCTCGGAGCTCGCATAGGTTGGCGGCGGAGTAGGACCGTTCCGCTTGCGGGGGGGACGAAAGCATGGAATGCAACCTTCCGCTAGCAGAGCGAGCCTCTCGACGCGCGTCGACGAGGATGGTAGCCATTCGAACCTGCCACTCTCCGTTCTGAAAAAGCAGTACGAGCGTCCGCACGCAATTTCAAGGTGGGCGCCAAAGCCCCGCCGGTACAATCGCAGCTCCTTCCTCCGCAGCGCCTTAAACCGCCTTCGGCGCTTTTTTGCCAATTCGCGCTTCGCTTGAACTGAATTGCGGTGTCGCACGAAGTCCAGGCAGTGGTCGAGGAGCAAGTTTGTAGCAAGCGGGGTCGCAACCACGAGCACGGAACCGTCTGTTGCAATCAAAGAAGCGACCTTGACACCTGAGTGGAATGCCGCGATGCCGTGCGTAACCAACAGCGGGTCGTTGTTGACGAGTGGCGTGAGTACCATCAATGTTGGCACCATGGCAAAGGCGCAACTCTGAGGTGATTTCACGAGCATGCGCACCCATTTGACGCAGAGGTATCCAACAGCCGAGCCGGCTTCGTAGCCGCTGAGAAATGCAGAGTTGCCGCCGAGGGAGACCAAGCCCGGTGGCAATCCGAAGCATCGTGATCGAACGGTGCAGAGCCACTCAAAGTACTCCGTGCGCTCATCAAGAAGCAGGTATCTATGGCTAGCCCAAGACGAAGCTGAGTAGTAGTATCGGGTAGCGTTTGAAATCAGCTGAACTTGATTTCCTTCCAGCGCCCAATGCCGCACCGAAAGGTGTGTTCCGACAAGCCGCAATGGGGCAACATGACCTGGTTTGAGCTCCCAATTTCGCAGGGAAAGGTGTGCATCGAGATTCAGCAACGGGGCAAGTCCTTCAGGCCAACGCCAATCGCAATCGTTTCGCAGTTGGGGCGAAGTTCGGTCTTCCTCTTCGTAATCGATCGGCGGCGAGAGGCGGCGAGTGGTGACGCGAATTTCAACCGAAATCGCGCCACCCTTTGTGCACTTTGAGCAAGAGTCACTCCTCGTCTCTCGCAATGTTGTTGTGACGGTTGAATTTTTGCCGATTTCTGTAAGCGTCCATTTTTGAATAGGTTTGGAAACCACCGAGGGGTACGATTCCACATAATTCATCCGACGGAAACGTGGCGATGGCACCTGATTCGGGGCGCAGTGGGGGGGTGTGTGTGTGAGGATTTGGTTCTGATGAAGGTGGGGCAGCACCGAGGGGGATGGGGGAGGGTCACCGTTTGGGCGAGCCAAGGCTGTGGCGCCGACGGCGGCACCCTTGTACGAGGCTGTGAGGGGAGCGGCGGCGAGAGGGGGGGCGGCGGCGACGCAGGCGAGCCGCACACGCGCGCGACTGAGCGTAGCGCGGGCGGCGGGAAAAAGGAGGACGGCGGCGGCGGCGAGGCGCAAAACGGGGGCGGCGGAAGTGGGGGCGACGGCGGCGGCGGAGTGAACGGCGGCGCGCGCACGGACGGCGACGAAATCGACGGCGGGGAGGGGTGGGGCTGCATGGCGGCGGCGGGCGCGCGCACATTCGTCGTGTTTTCGCATTGGCATTCCACGTGCTCCTCGGCGACCTGCGTGCGCGGGAACGGCAGGGGTCATTTCGCGCGCACCGGGCGGCGCCGTGCTCGCAGCAGCCGGGATCGCGGCAGAGTATGGTGGAGAGCTCTACCCGCGCACCTGCCCAGCGATGAACTCGACGCCGCTCCTGGCAGGCGAGGCAGGGATCTCGGCGACGTTGGAGAGCGGGCGCACGATGTCGTGGGCGACGCCCGTCCGCAGCCACGTCGTGGTGACGACGATGGCGAGGAGCATCACGGTGGAGAGGAGCGTCCCGGCGCTGCTTGGGCTCGCTCGAGTTTCCGGTGAGGGCATGGGTGTTTTTGTTGTATCAGGGCTTGGAGGTGGCTGCAAGAATTCTTTTCCCCAAACTTGTTGGTGATGGCGTCCGCCCCGGCCTGGTGGCCACGCCAGGACGCTACTTCGCTACTCCCGCCGCTGCAGCCTTGGGCGAGAGCGAACGGCACGGAGCACTTTGGCTCGGAAAGTGGGCTCCGCTGCTTCCTCGACCGCATGCTCCGGCGGCGCAAGCCAGTCACAGTCGCGGCGCTGGGCGGCTCCATATCTGCAGGGTCGAGCTACACGGTGCGGCAGACGGACGACCTGTACCACTCACGGGTCGCTGCAGCGCTGCAGCGGCTCGGCCCGCCGGGAGCCAACCTCTCCATCACGGATCACAACGGCGTGCGCCGGCACACCCCGCCGCCACAATCTGACGCGCTGACGATGACCGCTGTCGTCCGCTCTTAGGCGCGCTTCCCGCCACCGGCCCGTCCTTCTTCGAACACTGCCTCGAGTCGCAGCTCCCCGCGGCGCCGCACCTCATCCTCGTCGAGTTCACCGTCAACCTTGACCACAACCCCGCCGCCTTCGAGCGGATGCTGCGCAAGCTGCTTACGCTGCCTCGCCGGCCCGCGGTGGTGGTCGTCTCGATGCACGGCTGGCGCCTGACCGACAGCCGCGGGAGGCGCGTCTCGCCCTGGCGCTGCGCCTTCCCGCGCGCGGGCGGCAAAGCGGATGTGAGGCTGCGAGGCTCCGACCAGCAGTGGGAGGACTCCAACCCCGAGTCCAGCTCCAACTCGCGACTCGCAGCTCCCACTCCTAGGCTCCGACCAGCAGTGGGAGGACCAGGACCCGCGCGGCGACGAGGACAGGGTGGCCGAGCTCTGCCGCTACTACGACGTCCCGCTCGTCTCGATGCGGGCCGCGCTGCTCGAGCCGGTGCGGCGAGGCGCGGTGCGGCTCGACGAGTTCATGGTGGACTGCCGCCACCCGAAGGCGGAGGGGCACCTCGCGATGGCCCGCGCGGTGCTGGACCGGCTGCTTCGCACGCGGCCCCTCGCGGAAGGAGCGGCTTGTCCCGCCAGCCCCGCCGGCAGCCACCCGCCGGTCCTCCCTCCGCCGCGGCTGCGGGACGGGCTGCCGATGCCAAACAGCATGTGCGCGCGGGGCGAGCTGTTGCGCCAGCGCGTCCTCGACTCGCGCGGCTCCGACCTCTCGCCCTGCCGGCGCCTCCTCCTCCTCGACCTCCCGTAGACCGCCCCCGGAGCCCTCCCTGCAGGCTTCGACTTCTCGCTCGAGCAGCGCGGCAAGCCGGGCCTGGTCGGCTTGCAGCCCTAGATGCGCATCCATGTCTCCCCGTACCTCCCCACACCTCGGAGCCTCGATGCGAATGCGCACTGTTGTTCCCAACCAGCACTCTCCCCTCGTACTCATGCCGTGACGTTGTGTGAACTGCGGACGGGCTCACGAGTGCTCTGCACGCTCAAGCCCCTGACCGGTTGGCATGCCCACAGGCCTGCAGCCGCACAGCACCTTGCGCCTCGCCCTCGACACCGAGGCGCGACACGCCTCACCCGCACACCGCCTTGCACTTTCAATGCCCGATGGGGCCACCCGTCTCAAGACGTCGAGATGCGGGAGCCCCCCCCCCACGCACACACACACACAGGTCGTGGAGGAGACTACCTCACCGTACCACCTCACCTCACCCGTAGGCGCGGCAGGCGGAGGCGGAGGCGCCGCGCAGGGGGAGGCGTGGCGCGGGCGACGGTGGCTCCGGTGGTCGGCTAGCTGCGATCGTGCGGCCTTCGAGTAGCAGTCCAGATCGACGGATTCGGCCTGCCGATCCTCCTAGAAGGAGGCGTCGCTGCCAGCCCCTCCCCCCGCTGCTGCTCAGGTGGTGGCCGGCGCCCCACCGCCACCCTCCCCGACCCAAAGTGCTCCGACCACGACGTCGGCGAGGCGGCTCACAACGGGCAGAGCCAGGCTTGCGCGCAGCAGCAGCCGTGGTGCCACTCTCGGAAGGTCTTCAAGCGCTGCCCGCTCACGTGTGCAGCCGCGCGGAGGGGCAAACCTCGGACAACCCCGCGGAACCTCGGGCCTCGCCCCTCTCGCATAGGTGCGGCCTCTGCAGCCGCGTGAGGGGCGGCGCCAACGCCACGACTTCGGTGCTGTGGCTGGCGTACCTGTCCTCATACCAGCACATGGGCCGTGCGCTCGTGCGGTGCAGCGGCGGGTGCGAATGCGGCCCCGTCGAGATCGACGCACACGTCCGCTCGGAGCGAGTCTCCGTCACGGCGGTGCAGCGGCTCGCGGTGGTCCACACGGCGGCGCACGGCGGGCCGGCTTGCGCGCTCGACTTGCGGATCCTCCCGACGTCCTCCTCCGGTGCGCCCGTTGCCCCGCCCCCCCCTTTCGACCGCGGCTCGACGTCGAGGACGCCCTTCTCTGCCCCGCACCGACGCCCTCTCCCCCCGGGCACCGACGCCCCCCCTTGCGTCACCCCCCCCCCTTGCGAGGCGAGCACAAGTGGAAGCTCCTCGGGCTGCTTCTCGGTGGCAACCTGGCAGGCGACGCCTGGATGCCGCCCGGCTCCATACGGTACGACGGCGACACGCGCTCCTTCTTCTTCCCGGGCGCAGACGAGAAGCTGCCGACGCAGACCTCGTTCGGACGCTGAGAGTCTCAGTCGGTGAGAGGGCAGGCCGGCGTGGGCGACGGGCGAGCGCTTACTTCTTCATATTAAAAAGAATTGTGTATGTAAAAAAGAGTGATGAGCGCAAGAATTTCGTCAGGCAGGGGGGAAACAGGCGAACGAATCTCGGAAACTCACACCGCAAACGACATACAGGGCGCGAGAGACTGGCACGCCACTCTGGCACGTAAACGTACACCCGCTCCCTCGTACATTTCGTTTAAATTCGTTGCTTCCCCATCGATTCTCGCGCACACGAGAGCGCGTTGCACGCCGCCTCCATACAGTTCTCCATACAGTTACGATTTCGTGACTGCTTTCGCCGTCATCGCCACACCGCCTGGCGCCGCCGTGCTCTCCACAAGCTGCTGCACATTGCGGATCGGTGTGGTGCTACGGGCGCAGAGGCGGCGGAAGCAGCCGCGAAAGCGGAACAGTGCGAGGAGGAGGGCGAGGGAGAAGACAGCGAGGAGAGGGAGCAGGAGGTCGGGCAAGTTGGGGCGCTGCTCGCCGGTTCCGGCGCCGGCGAGGTCCTCGCCCGCCGCCGTACCGTTGCAGGGCCATGCTTGCTGGACGTAACGCATCCACAGGTCGGTCGATGTGCTGCCGTCCAGCATCCGGACCGGGTGAGGGGCGCTACCCGTCTGCGACTCGTAGGCGCGCACCACAGCGGGCAAATCAAAGTCCACCGTCCAAAGCTCGTACTTCTCATCGCCCACAGGCATCGACGTCGCCGCGTACCGGGGCAGCGGGCCTACAAGGCGAGGGCAGGCGCACGGGCGGTGAAGGCACGCGAGGGGCGGGTCGTTCCTTCCGCGTCTAGGGCCGCAGACCGCCAGTGCGGGGGTCGGCGGCGCTGGGCGCTTGCGCATGGAGGGCGCTTAGCACCGCCCGAACGTCACCGCCGCTCACGGCCGGCGCCACGCGCCATAGGTGGTCCGCAAACGGGTTCATCGTCCAGACGTCGTCCAGCGTGACAGACCCGGCGTACAGGTCGTACCTGCGGGCGTGTCATGGACGTGTCATGGACGTGTCATGGACGTGTCACCCGGCGTACGCGTCGCACCGCAGCGAGCCGGTGCTCTGCACGGCGATGCGTGACGCGTTACCGCCGAATGCGGTCCGCGGCGTCACCTCGTCCAAGTAGAACCGCCAGAGCGACTCGGCCGCGCCCAGCCCCGCAGCCGCCTTGTACGTGCGTGGCGCGCAGCCGAGCACATGGCTGAGGCGGAGTCCTGAGGCGGCACGCTTGATCTCGCCCCGAAGCGCGGCGCCGGCGGCTGTCAGCAGCGAGGCGGGGTCGGCGAGACCGGCCGCTGCCGCCATCGAGGCGCGGTTGGCGTCGATGTTGAGGTGAGCAAAGGTGGCGGCGGCGGCGGCGGAGGAGGAGGCGACAGAGGGCGGCGGCGAGAGCGAGAAGGACGCGAAGCCGATGGTGTCGAGGTACCTGCCCGCTTCGAACGAGGCGGCGCGGGTGTCGAGGTCGCGGTAGGCGCGCACGTGCGAGTGGCCAGTCACAAAGAGGACGGGGACCGCCGCGCCGGCGCTCGCTCGCGTGGCGGCGAGCAGCAGGTCGACGAGCGGGTCCTGCAGGGAGGTTCAGAGAGGTGGGTCGGAGAAGGTTCGGAGGAGGGTCATCGAGTGGGGCGGAGTCCTTGAAGTCCATGTGTGTCAGGAAGAGGACAGCGTCGTACTCGGTCGCCGTGAGGGCGTCGACGAACCACGCCTGCTGCACGGCCTCCTCCACGCGCGTGACGATGACGTGGTCGGCGTGGTCTCTCATGTCGTAAAGGAAGCCAAAGGCGAGCACGCGCGAGGTTCGGCCGACGAGCAGCTTGTGGCTGGAGCCGAGATGCTCGCCCGTCGCGGCGTCCAGTCTACGAGCGAGCGGCGAGGCGGGGGGGGCTGGGGAGTGATGCATGACGGGAGAGGAGCAGGTGGGCAGGGGGCGATGAACGAGCATAGACGGTTGCACTCACGTGTTTGAGGTGATGAAGCTTCCATTCCACGAGTCGATGAACCCGCCAGGCTGCGCGAGATAGTCGATATTTTTGTTCTCGTACAGCTCGTGGTTGCCCGTTGTGAGTGCATCGAATGGCATGCGCTGCAGCAGCGGCACGAGAACCGCGGGCGGCGTCCGGGAGAATCCGTTGCCGTCGTTGAGGTCGCCATTCTGTACCAGGAAGAGGTCGCAGCCTCTGGCCGCTGCGACTTCCGCTAGGCGCTCGTGCAGCGACAGCACGTGCCCATAATCCGCGTCGAGCGCCGGTGTGTGATCCGGGTGCCGATGGCCGGCAATCCAAGAATGAACATCGGTGACGATCAGGAAGTTGACGTCGTTCCAAGGCACCGGGGAGACGACGTCAGTAGCCGGCATTGTGTCCGTGGAAGTCGTTGGCCTCCTGCCGTCGTGTCCGGGCGGGGAGCGGTGGGCCTCCTGCCTCCCAGCTGCTGCCTCCCTCGATGCCTCCCCCCCCCCGCCCCCCGCCCCGCCTTCGCCTTTGCCGGGGGGCAAAATCCGCTGCTCCTACAGTGCCGCGCCGCCTTCCGCACACACACAAACAGAACTTTCTGCTTCGAGGGAGTTAGTTTGCGTTGAGGAGCAGACCCGAGCAGCCGTGTCGCGTGTGCCACCCGGACCCACCCCGTAACAGCCTTGTTAGCCATGGGAAGATCGGCTCGCAAGGTGGGGTGCTAGTTAGTATGAGACCGACCCGGGTCGCAGTTCTCTTGCGTAGGCTGTCAGAGACAGATTCTTGCGAAGGTGGGGACACGAGTGTCTGTCCTGGTCCCACCAGGCAGCCCTATACACACGAGCTCATACAGGCCCCAACAAACGCCCATTCCTGTGAGTCAGTGGACGGCTCTATCGTCTCCTAACCTCTCCTCGACGACAGTATACGACAGAGTACGACTGCGAGGAGACTATGCTCCCCTCTCCAGCAGGCAGACCGTACTCACTGCTTTTCCCCTCTCCCTCCCTGGCCCTCTCTCCCTCACGCAGCGCGGCCAAAACCGCCTCCGACGCGATTGTGCGGCGTAGCGTTCACGTCTCTGCTCGCGAGGAGCTCAGCCTCCCCGGCCCTGCGCTTGCACAATGCGGAGCGTGCTCCCCGGCGCGCACCCTGGGCAAATCACCTGCATCGCACCCCCGCCCGGCAGATTCACCGCAAACGCCATGCCGGGAACGACGCCCGCGGGCACCACCACCTACAGGGCCTATTGAAAGCAATACGTGTGAACAGACGCAGTCGGCACCTCTCCATCAGCGGCGGCGGGCAGTGTGCTGTGCCTCTGGTGTTCATGGCGGCGCCGGCGGCAGGAAGTGGACGCCCGGGGGAAGCTGGACGTCGAGCGAGAGGCCGGGGGTGAGGACAGCGCCACTGGGCACAGGGACTGTCATCAGCCCCGATGTTGTGCTGATCGTAAGTCTCTGCCCCTGTACGAAGGTGTCAGGAACCATGATTCTGATCGGCGGCTGCTGCTGCTGCTGCTGCTGCTGCTGCTGCAACTGCTGCTGCATCTGCTGCTGTGCCTGCTGCTGTGCCTGCTGCATCTGCTGCTGCCGCTGCTGCTGCACCTGCTGCTGCGGCTGCTGCTGCGGCTGCGGCTGCGGCAGCTGCTGCTGCCGCTGCTGCTGCCGCTGTTGCTGCTGCTGCTGCTGCTGCTGCTGCCGCTGCTGCTGCTGCCGCTGCTGCTGCTGCCGCAACTGCTGCTGCTGCTGCAACTGCTGCTGCTGCTGCTGCAACTGCTGCTGCTGCTGCTGCTGCTGCGCCTGATACTGCTGCAGCAGCAGCTGCTGCTCCGTCGCCGGGAGGAAGGTGTTGAGCCCGACGATGAGCTCGTGGTGGCCGTGGAAAAGCTGCAGCACGTGGGCGATCAAGCTCGGCGTGTCACGCCTGTGCTGCGCCAGTATGTCTTCGAACTGCAGGCGGAGGGGGGGGGGGGTAAAAGGAAGGAGGGGTGAAAGAGGGTGAGAGAGTGTGCGATCCTGCTTCGCAACGTCCGGCCCGAGCGCCTGCCTGACCCGGTCCATGTAAGCGGTCGCCCGGTCTGGCCGAGCCGGCGCAGGCTGCGGCGGTGCAGGCGTGGGCGGCGGCGGCTGTGGCGGCGACGATGGCGGCGGCTGTGACGTTGACGCGGGAGGCGGTGGCGCAGGCTGCGGCGGCGCAGGCAACTCCGGCGGTGGCAGCGGGCGCTTGCCGCGGTTGTCACTGCCACCGCCGCCGCCATCGTCCTGGTCGGCAGGCCGGGGCCGCTTGGTACCCTTACCCGACTTGAGTGGCAGTGTGAGCACGTAGTACTCGAGACCCTCGTGCTCGACGGTGCGGTGGAGTTTGCCATCGGGCGCTTTCCACCCCACATACCCGTGCACAGCACCGACCGACACAGCTTCCACCGCCGTCGCAGAAAGATCAGGCATGCGGTAGAGCAGCGCCTGAACTGATGGCGTGAACTCATCGCCGTCGCCGTCGCTCGCAACACTCTGGACTTGCACCAGCAAAAAGACCCAGTCGAGATTCTGCGTATTGAGCCGGTTCAAAAGGTCGATCATCTCCTCAAAGGAGGGGGCCAGCCCGTCCTCCGGGACTTGGAGTGCCACAAGCGCAGAGTGCGCCGCATCTGGCGACGCCTGGTGCTCATCAAGAAGCGGCTTTACCGAGGCTGCATCCAGCCATTCGTGGGCATCGTCCGGGGAGATGAGCCGCGGGCATGGCCAGCCCTGGCCCTTGTGTATCATGCCGTACTGCTCCTCCTTCAACATCTCCTCCAGCCGTGGCAACGGCGGGTCGATGTCGGTGTCGGTGTCGGTGTCGGAGCCGTCGTCGGGGCCGTCGGGCTTTGGCTCAACGTCGCGGCGCAAGTGGCGCTTCTTGTGAATGTAGCGGCTGAACTTGCAGATGGCCAGACCGGCCTCGTCGACCATGTGCAGAAACTCGACGTCCTGCGGCAAGTCACGTGGTGAGCTGACGCGGCGCAGCGGGGTAGCCTCCAAGGCGTGTCCGAGAGCGCACCTCCCAGATTGCCTTGGCCGGATAGAGGACGCCCTTGTCCAGCGTGGCGCGCACGTTGAGCAAGAAGAACGAGTAGACGGAGTGAGTCGCCAGGAAGCCGCGCCGCTGCCGCAGCCGGTTGCGAGGGTCGTCGCGCTGCATGCCGAGGATGCCGTATGCGAGCTTATCGCCGCTGTACTGGCGAAGAGAGCCCAGCGGCGCGGGGTCGACGGCGGCGGGGCCGCCTCCTCCTCGGATCACGAGCGGCGCCGAGCCGCTGTTCGCGAGGGCACGGCGAGGTGGCGATTTCCCCCGCTCAGTCTCGGCATCGAAGGTGATGTGCTCGGTGGCGGCCGCCGAGACGAGCGGCAGCTGCTCGTCGACGTTGTCCTTGTCACCGCGGTCGAGCAGCAGCTCCATGCCTTGCATGACGGTGGCGAAACCGCACTCGCGCAGCTTCACCACGCCGTCCACGCCAGTGCGTGGCGCGACGGAGTCAGGGTCGATGTCGATCGCCCAGCAGCGCTCGACGTTGTCGTCGAGCATCCATATCTCGTCCAGCCCGAGCTCGTTTGCGAGCAGCTGGCAGACGAGGCGCGCGTAGCCGATGCGGCCTACCTCGACCTGCAGCTGGAGGGGTGGCGCGTCGTGCGCGTACCGCACTTGCATCGTCGAGGGCATCTCCGCGATGATGTACATCGAGCCCCTGCGAGGCGAAGGACAGGTGTGAGGATATGCGCTGCGTGTCTCGCGCTCCAATCGCGGAGAGCAGTCGTACCAGCAACGGAGATACTCGTCGAACGCTGCGCGATCAGCTGGCGACGCGTCTCGCGGTCGCAGCATCAGCACTTGGACGTACTGCTCCCGCTTCAGCGGCGCCATCGCACAGTCGCGGTTCAAGCGGACGGTCACCTTCTGCGCGCCCCCGTAGGAGCAGGTGAACATCCACCGCACGGCAAGGCCAGCGATGTTCACGCGTTGTGCGTCAGTCCACAGGCGGTTCTTCATCCAGCCTGGCACGTGCAGACGGCACGTGAAGGGCTCGAGCAGCTCCGCGCCGCCGCCGAACCGCTTGGCCCCCACGGCGACGTCGACAACGTCCGACGAGCGGTCATCCCCAGGCTTGCGTTGGGGCGCGGCGTGCTGAGCGCGCACGGCGCCCCCCGCGGGCACGACATTTGGCTTCGCGATGACTCGTGCGGCGCCGCGGTGCGTTGGCGGCTTGTCCCAGATCAACGCGGCCGGGTTCAAGCCTGGCTGCCGGAGCGCGCTGAAGTCCTTGTGCAGCTGGCGCAGGCGGGCCATTCGCCCGTCCCAGTCGACGCAGAGCCGCACAGCCTCCCTTGCACCCTCGTCGTCACGGACAGCGCGAGTCGCTGTGTCAACAGGCATCTGCTTCGCCGTCCCGTCCGCCAGCTTGAGCTTAACGCGCAGTTCCTCGACCGCAGCGCAGCCCTTCTTCGACACGATGCACTCGCCCGACGGGCTCAGCAGCCAGTCGCAGTACTCGTCGGCCCAAGTCCGAAGCGGCGCAGGCGGCGGCGCGACAGCGAGCTCCTGCAGCTTCGACATCCGCCCCTTGGCCACGGCCTGGTAGTAGTGGCCCTCCTTTGGCTCTTCGTACCTGGTAGACACGGCGGATGAAGCGTGAGGTATAGGCCACTCCAATGCAAAATGCGAAGGCATGTGTGCGCGCACTTGAGGCGTTGTCGCCCGATGTTCTCCCAGTACGGGAAGAACCAGCTCCACCGCTGGTCGATGCCCTTCTTCGACATGAAAACCGACGGAAGGTTCGAGCCGCGCACCTCCTCCGTCAGTCGCGTGAGGAAGTGGAGGTAGGCGCCGGTCTTGCCGATCTGGCACTCGGCGAAGAGCAGCAAGCGCTTCGCATGCGTCTGGGGTTCGTCGACCGCGTCGTAGTGTGGCGGCTTCTTCCCCTCGCCGGTGTCCACCTTGCCCGTCGTCGGCTCGTAGTTGTCGTGGTAGTCGTGCAGCGGGTTGGCCCCCTCGGTGATGCGATCGTGCATCGCCTTGTTCGACAGCTTGCCTTTGATCGGCCGCATGTACATGTCGAGCCCCTCCTTCATCTTCACGCATTGCAGCGCCGTAATCTCACGCGAATGCGGCGCCTTCGACTGCTTGGCATCGATTCCCGCCACCAGCAGCTTTTGCACGTCCTGCCGGACGATCGCGCGAGGCAGCCGGTCGAAGTAGCAGTGCAGGTCGAAGTGCGTGACCACGCTCCCGTTGAGCGGGTCGTCCTGCTTGCGCAGCTGCGGGTCGAGCAGCTTGCGCAGCTCCGCGCAGAGCTCGGGCAGCGAGTGGACGTGCGCGACGATGTCCTGGTCGGTGCCGCCGGCAAGCACGACCATCATCGGCAGCTCGAGCTCCAGCAGCCGCCTGGCTTCGGCCGCAGCTCGGACCGCCTCGATGTCATCCGCCACCAGCGTCTCAGCTCCGTCATCCATCTCCATCTCAGCGGCGGACCTGGCGTCGGCGGCACCGAGCGCGGCGAGCACTCCGCTCACGCTAAGAGGCTTGGTCGCGCCGTGCAGCAGCCGCGTCGCCGGGTAGCGGCACATGCGGCCGAGCTCCTGCGTGAAGGCGACGAGCGTGCCGGCCGTGCGCAGGCGCAGGTCGAGGCTCACGAGCGAGTGTGGGAAGGTGTCGCCCATGCGCGCCTTCTCGGTCACGATGAGCAGCATCGGCACGTTGTGGAGGTCGGCGTAGCTCAGCTCGGCGCGGGGCGCGCGCACGCCCTGCGCCGACTCTCGCTGGTATGAGGCGAGCTTCCGATTGAGGATGTCCTGCAGCGTCAACGGCGGCGAGCCTTCCGGAAGCTTGCACACCTCGCCGTCGCGGTCGCCCCAGATCTACAGCGGTGTGTGCAGACGATGAGATTAGATGGGCGGGCGGGCGGGCGGCCCGGGGGGGGGGGGGGGGGGGAAGGCCTCGTTGGGATCTGTGTCGCTTCCGAGCGCGCGGTGAAGGTCAAAGTGCTTGAAGAAGTAGGGCTCGATGGCCTCGGCGATGACCGTCTCCGCGATGTCCGAAAGCACTGAGAACGCCCGCACGTCGCTGCCACCTGGCGCCGCGAGGCCGAGCTTCTCGAGCGCGTCGCGCAGCACGGTCTGCATGGTCAGGTTCTCCTGGTTCTCGTACACGCGCATCAGGATCATCTGCCCCCACAGGCAGCCACGCGCGTTGCGCGTCTGGTCGAGCAGCGCGAGGACGTTGCGGTCAGTCTCGGTGAACCAGCTCTCCTCGTCCGTCGACGTCTTGGCCTTGCGCTCGCCATCGAGCTTCTGCTTGAATATGTAGCGCAGAGCCTCGTCCTCAGTGACGTCCTCGGTGACTGGCTGCGGTGGCGCCGACTCGTTGTCCTCCTCCTCAGCGCCACCCTCGCGAAGCGCTTCTATCTCCTTCTTCGCGCGCGCCAGCTCCTTCTCGTACAGGTGGTCGACCAGCAGCGCCGTCATGTCGTACCACTCGAGCGTCATGCCGTTGCAGCATGGCAGTTTGGGCTGTCCCACCGCCAGGCGGCGCAGCAGCGCACGGAAGAGGGATCCCTTGTCTGCAGGGCTCAGCGTTGGCACTGGCACGATGCTGCCGCCAAAGAGCCCGTCGATGGACTCGGCCTGTGTCAGGCGTCGCTCAGACTGGTTGAGACCGAGCAGCATCGCAGCGCCTGGCTCGTGCCATCCGACGCCGACGCGCAGGAGGGCATAGTAGGCGAGCGAGAGGAGGTAGTCGCACATGAACCTGTGCGGAGCAAGAGAGGATTGCAAGTCACAGAGGGCATATGCCATCCGAGGGAGACAGAGGGAGAAGGCGCACAGGTGGCCGTCTTGGACGACGATGCGTTTCGCCTCGCCGCCTTGCGTCGCCTTGCGGCCCTTTGACTTGCCCCCGAATCGCGGTACGAGCTCTCCGACAGACTTCGTCTTGGCCCGCTTCGTGCGCGTGCCAAACCGCCCATTGAATCGGCCGAACTTGTCCGCGAAGTTCGTGTCCGAGCGCACGCGTTGCGCAGCGACCGGGTGGTCGCGATCGATGTCGGCGGGATTCGCCGCTACGAGTGGGAGGCTGAGGTAGCCGCTCTCAAACTGCGAGTCGGAGAAACCGAGCAGTGGCAGCACCGAGTGCTCGCCCCCGCAGAGGAGGACCTGCACGGCGGTGCATTTCGCCACGAAGCTGAAGCGACCGGTGTCATAAATGTCCCCGGGCGCCGCGTTCTTGTCGTACTTGCACGTGAGCGGCGCCTGTACGTGCAACACGAATAAGGCGGGTAAAGCAGGTTATTCCGTGGTGAGAGCGGGCTGGGGGAGAGGGCGCTGCTTTGTTCTCCAGCAGCTCGCCGAGATGCTTGGCAACGCTCTTCATGCTGCCAAATCGGCCGTCGATGCACACGGGCGGCAGGGCCGTCGCGACGCCGCCCACCTGGTAGGTAAGGCGCAGCTCGCGCTTGCCCTCAGGCACGGAGAAGGCGATGGAGTTGACGAAGAAGTCGATGTCTCGGTAGCGGCCGCGGCCATCAGGGCGCCAGCGGATGATGTTGGACGTGGGGTCCTCGTGGCCGGGCTCGAGCGAGAGAGGGTCGCACCACGAGTCCGAGGTGAGGGGGCCCGTGATGCGCGACTTGCGCGTGAGGCAGTTGAACGGCGTGGCCGAGTTGAGGAGGACGACGAGGTTCGGCAGGCCGAGTAGCTTCGCGTCGTTGACGTAGACCGACTGGTAGCCACCCTGTCAGCGGTGGGGTCGGGTGTTGAGAGAAGCAGAGTAGAGAAGGTGGCGGGGGCAGGTGGGGGAGGCTACCCGCGTGGGCGAGTAGTGGCACTCGTCGGCAATGATGACGAAGAGGGTGGTCCCGTTGTCCTTGATCGCCTTGGCCTTGAACTTTTCGAAGTACTTGGCCGAGTCGCCGCAGCTATGCATGATCACCTTGGAGAACTCGTCGTCGTTGCTGCCCCGCTCGGTTAGCCCCGCTCGCCGCACGCGGTAGGCGGTCTGCGCCTTGAGCGTGGTGAAGGCAGGGACGAGGATGAGGAACTGCATGTCGGTGAACTTGTCGAAGGCCTCGCCGCCAAGCATCGCACGCGTCCGTCGCAGCAGCGCCTCCGCCACCTTCGCCTGCTCCCACGACGGGCCGCGCGCCGCCACCTCCTCCTCCATGCCCTGCGGCACCGGCGGCGCCTTGTACGTCGCCACCACCGTCACCTTCCACACGCCGCTCTCCGGGGGGTCCTCGACCGGGTCCCCCGCCGCCCAGTCGTCCTCGATGCTCAGGCGGCCGGCCGCCACATCATCGAACACGCGGGCCTGCACGGCGGCCTTCATGTCGACCTTCTCGACGCAGCACGCGAGGATGCGGCGCAGCACGACTTCGGGCGACGAGTCCTGCGTAGTCTCGACCAATGAAACCGATGGCGTCCTCGCCTCGAGCCTGGCAGCCTCAAACTTGCCCGCGAGCGACGGCAACGGGTCCGTGTAGAGCACAACGCAACGCGCATCGAATTTGGCCGGCGTGGCGATGTAGTTGTCGAGGCTCACAGAGCAGCAGCGGAGGCGAGCGCCGAAGAGGGCGCTGCCGGAGAACTTCTTCGGGTCCGCGGAGACGATCAGCGCATCATAGATCCCGTCGGAGCGGCCAATGGCTGCGCGGGGTGCGGTCAGGAGGTCACAAAGGTTGGTGGGGGGGTGGAGGGGGGGGAGCAGGAGGAGGGTGGTAGCGCCGCACCAAGCATGACGTGCGCATCAGGCAGCGACAGCGGCTCGGGGTTGGGCCCGCTGCCCTGGACAACGTCGTACATGACCCGCACGTTCTTCTCGCGCTCGTCTGGCACATCCATCGCGTCCTCCACCTCGGTCACAAATACCAGCGCCTTGTAGAGCCGCCGCGGCGCGGTGCTACTGCCGTCGCCGCCGCCGCCGCCGCTGCCGCCGCTGCTGCCGCCTGGCGCGAGGCAAGCGTAGATGCCCTCCTTGAGCGTGATCCCGTCCTCGAGCTCGAGCGTGGCGTAGATGCCGTCCTCGAGCCCCACCTCCCAAAAGGACGTGCCGGCGAGCTCAGAGGGCGGGTCTGCACCGCCGAAAAGCTTGGGCGCGTATAGGCCCTTCGCCGCGCCGAGTGCCGCCCTGAGGTCCTTGCACTCTTTGGTCGCCTGTTTGAGCTCGAGCCTGATTCTCGCCCGCTCCTCCTCGTCGAGAAAGCCCTCCGCCTCGTCCTTCAGCGCAGACTCACGCTTCTCCGCCTCGCGCTTTTGCTTCTGCAGCGCCGCCTGGCCGCCCTTCCATTGGGCCACCTGCGGTTGTGAGACAGCGACTCAAGAGGGTGTTGGGTGGGGCAGTTGCGCATCGTTTACTGCGGACCCTCGCTCTCACAACGTCCTCCAGCGCGCTCAAGGAGAAGGTGCCGCCACCATCGTTCTGGCGCAGCAGAAGCGCGCACATCACCTCGTGGCGCTCCTGCGGGGCCGCGGCGCAGAGGAACGCGTGCAGCTCGCCGAGCGGTCCGTCGGCCGTCTCGAGGCAGTAGCGGCTTGCGTGCGACGGGTACGGCGGGACCTCGTCGGCACCGATCTTGATCTTGAAGCTTTGGTCGTCCTCGCTGGCTCCGAGCACAACGACGCCTGCGTCATGGCGGGGTGGAGAGTGAGCGCGGCTGCTGCCATCACCGCCCGGGGCAGCGTGGCTGCTGCCAGAGTGCGGCAGCAGGCGGAGGGCACTCTTGATCAGCGACGACTCGCGATGCACCGTCGGTGGCTCGTCCGCCGATGCAGACGGCCCAGGGGTGGCACCACCGCCAACGCCGCCGCCGCTGCTGCCACCACTGCCGCCGCACCCGTTGCCGCCGCTGCCACCGCAGTCAAAGCCGGCGGCAGCGCGGTCAAAGGCAGGGCTGACGTACGTGGAGTTGGCGGCACTGGAGCTGGCTTTGCCAGCGATCGGGCGCCGGCTGACGATCCAGATGGTGCCGTCCGACGTCTGGATCCGTCTCTGGACCGTCCCTTCGTCGCCCAAGCTTAGCGCGAGGGCCGCGTACTGGCCCACCTTCTGCCACTTGCCGCCACTCACGTCTTTTGCGGTATTGTTTTCAACACCTGACTGAATGAAGTCGGTATACCAGAGGCTGAACTCGCTCGACCTTCCTACTTTGCCGAGCTGAAGAGGTTCGTTCGCTTGGAATGCGCTCGCACCGGCGTGCAGTCCGACGCGCTGCAGCTTGCCGTCTGGAATGAATGGCACGCGACGGTCTGCCGTCACCGAGTAGACGTACTCGTTCTTGGGCGGAGCCCTGGTCGGCGTGGCGGGCGGCTCGCCACCCTGCGATGCCATCATTTGAGGCGCCGGCGAGTCCCAGCCCGGTCCCTCCCGCGGAACGAGGCGTCTCAGGGTTTTTCAACCCCCTCGCAGGGTTCCGCAGCGTTCCTGACCTCGGTCGGCTGCTCTCTGCGAGAGGGTGCGCGCTACCACCACCTCGTGTGTGTGTGGAGGCGTTCCCCACACCTGGCCTCTTCTACTACTTGCTCGGCGTGCGCGAGAACGGTCTCCCAGGCACCAACTTCTGCACGTTGAACCATGGCTGGGCGGACCCCTTGATCGGGTGAAAGACAGCCGGCACCTCGGCCTGCGCGCGAGTCAGCGCTGCGAGGAACGCTCCGGGTCCGCCTCGGGACGGCAGCAGCCTCGTCTCGTCGAGCAGGTCGAAGAGCTTGTTGCGGCAGCCGAACTCGCGCGCGGCGTGCAGCGGCGGGCCGTACCTGCTCACGGCGGGAGGAGTGGAGAGACGCGCCCGCTGCCTGGTGCGCGTGTGCGGCGGAGGCGGCACGTGATCCAGGGAGACACCTTCGCGATCTCCTCCGCCTCGCCCTTGAGGTCGTCGAGCACCTGTCAACCGACCGATCGATCAATCACCCTTCCTCAACAGCAGCTCCGCCCCTTCCCAAGTCGCCGAGCTCACCTCGAGCGGCGCCTCGAGCGTCGAGGGAGCGGTCCAGTTTATAGTAAGAGGCTGCGCAGGCCGTCTCCGGCAGCGGCACCTCTCGATCGGTTCCACTTTCTACGCACACGGGGGGCGGGGGGGGGGGCGGCTTGCCTCTCCCGCGGTTCGGGGCAGAGAAGAGGTGTGTTTGGGGAGAGGAATCAGGACCGAGCAGAGCGTCCATCGACAGGAAGATGGCGCGCGTGGCGGCTGTGCGAGGCGCGCGCCTTCGCCGGGTTGAACTGGGGGATGGGCAGCGCAAGGGCGAGCAGCTGCGTCGCGTGCGACGCCGAGTCGGCGGCCGTGACAGGGTCCAGCGACATCTGCACCGGCGCCGCCATCGTCGGCCGCATCACCGCCGGGCGCATGGCCGCAGGCGCGAAAGCGGCGGCGGAGCCAAGCAGGCAGAAGAAGACGGCACCCTTCATATTTCTGCGGGGCGGCGAGAGAGGGTGAGCCTCGGTGGGCGGACCAAGTTCGGGGCGAGGAGAGAGTTGCGAGCGCTTGTGAACGCAGTGGCGCCGCGGCAGCCACGCCGCGACTGCTGCGGGCGCCGACAGGCGGCGGCGGCGCAGCGGGCGCTCCACGCCAGCCAGTGAGGTGCTGGGACGAGCCAGTGATGCGCGGATCCTCGGGCTCCAGCGCTCCAGCGCGGGCGCACCTCGCTTCCGATTGGCTATTGCACAAAGAATTCTACCGCTAGAGGCACCGGTATGGGACTGGTTCGTCTTAAAATCCCTTGTGGTGGCGGCGTGCCGTTCTCCCATCCCTCCCTTGGGTTGTGTGTTTTCTTTCTTTCTTTCGGGACTGGTTCGTGTGCGTCGCCCATCTCTCCCTGGAGATGACTGCTCTATTTACGGGACTGGTCGTGCGCAGAAAGAATTTTACAACCTGTACCTGTGTTACTGCCAGTGCGAGCGAGTCCCGTGCCCCGTGTTGCCCAGAAAGAATTCTTAAACGGAGCGGCCCTAGTCAATCCATCCCGAAAAATGGGGTGGTCGGTCATGCGCTGAGGGAGGGTGTAGAGGATGTAGAGTGTAGAGCGCTGTAGAGCTGTAGAGATGTAGAGCGCTCTGGAGCGCTGTAGAGCTGTAGAGCTCTACATCTGCCGCGGGACGAAGCGCCTCCGTTGTAGAGCGATGTGGATCGCCGCGCGCGGCTGACCAAGCTCTACTACCCATGTTGTTCAATTGACATCCAGTCGACCGCTCCGATAGTCTACTACCTTGAGCCCGGGAGACGGAAGGTCACATGCCACGTTCACTAGCTCGCGCCTCTGATCAGCGTGACAATTACTTGCTTCACACTCCGCTGTGTTGTCTGCCGCATCTGAAGACCGCGCAGACAATGGGGGAGTGTTGGGAGTGTGAATACCCCATTCGTGTATATAGAGAGATGTCCCTGTTGAGTACTGTCCGATAGAGTCGAGATGCCTTGTTCCAGAGGGATGTGTCCTGGACGGCGTCTCGTCGTGGTCCTTCAGGACGATAGCTTTGTGTCCTTCAGGACGATGACGATCTTGGTTTGATCGTTCCTGTACGCCTCGGTACAGACCCTCGCTCCGTGTACAGCTCTGAGCTCTCACTACAGGGCTGAAAGCCTCCGCGGGCCGTGCACAAGGATAGGGCTTATAGGGGGGCCTCGTCTAACGTGCCATCTCTACCGACAAAGACCAAAGTATCTCTAAGAGTGTGATGTATGTGTGTCTACCGATCTCCCCTCTCTCGCTGTCCGTTCTCACATCTCTCAGACTGACGGCAACCGACGGCGACGCTCGCCGCGCATGCGCACCGCAATGCGAACACGGTGCCACACCGCTACCAGACGGCCAGCGCCGCACTAGAGGCGAGTGCGGCACCCGCGGATGTGAGAGCGGCCGGCACTGCCCCCTATCCCGAAAAGGTGATGCAAGAGCAGCCCGACCGTGGCGACGCGTGACGGCCGCGAGGCGCACTCGGCCTTGCACTCGGCCTTGCACTCGGTTCCTGCTCGGCGCGTCGGCCATGCCGGTCAGAGCAGCAGCAGCGCTCGCCATCGCCGAGTCGCAGCCGCTGCGCCCCGCCCCGCCGCCGGAAGCCTTGTCGATGAGCATGCCTCACGGCCAGCACACGGGACCGCGCAGGGTGCTCCGAGCATTGTGTGACACATTAGCCGCCGTCAGCGCCAGCCAGGGTGCGGCAGGGACGGAGGCCCGGTCTGCTGCTGCTGCTGCTGCTGCTGCTGCATCAGCATCATCTGCTGTTGCTGCATCTGCATCTGCCGGATCTGCGCGGTCTGCTGCTGCAGCATCGCGATCTGCGCCTGCTGCTGCTGGATCTGAAGCTGCTGCTGCTGCTCCAGCTGCTGCGGTGGCGGCTGCGCAGGAGGCGAAGGCGGGACCCCCGAAGGACCGTAGCGAGTGAGCCACGCGGGCTTGACCTGCGGGCGGAGGCGGTGCAGGGGCAGGTTCAGAGGGGGCAGTACTAGTGGGCCGTGTTTGGCACGCCGGGCGGTGACGCAAGGCCGGGCAGAGCATGCGTGCAGCGGGGCTCCAGCCGCAGCCGCGTGGCGAGCATGCGAGGGAAGGGAGCACGGCTGCCGCACGGAGACACGCCGCCAGGCCGGGGCACGTGGCGGCGTCTGGGCGGGGAGTGTTGCGGCATCTGTCTTGCCGTTACCGCGTCGCGCCCTCGCCCCACATCGCGCCTGAAAGAGAGTGAGAGAGAGAGCCGGGGTCTAGCCGAGTTGCAACCTCGCCCCGCCTCGCCCCGCCCCCCTGTCCCGCGAGAGAGAGAGCCGGGGTCTAGCCGAGTTGCAACCTCGCCCCGCCTCGCCCCGCCCCCCTGTCCCGCGCGCGCCTCGGTTTGGTTGCGCCCGCCGGCGCCGTCGCCAGCCCCCACGCGGCTTTCTGCTGGTCGTACATCGCCTGAGAGTTGCAGAGGCAAGTCTCGAGAGCCGGGTTCCGGCGCGGCCTTCTGCTCTCTCTCTCTCGCGCGCGCGCCTCGATGTTCCGCTGGCGCGACGCCTCCGTCTTTGCGTCGCGGCTCGAAAAGGAGAGCGGCGTCCCGTCCTCGCGGTGGCTGAAGTCAGCGTGCACGTTCCCCGACGTCGCACCCGCGCCGCCCGCCGCACCGCCGGAGCCTCCGGCGGCGGCAAGCGGCGCGGGCGGCGGCGCGGGAGGAGGCGCAGGCCGCGCAAAGCCGCCACCGCCACCCCCGCGCTCAAACATGTCGTGCTGCCATGCCCCCGCCACGCCGCCACCTCCGCCGCCGCCGCCTCCACCTCCGCCGCCGCTCCCGTCGTCGCCGCCTGCGCTTCGGGCCCCGCCTTCGGCGGCGGCTCCGCCTCCCGCGTCGTCGTCGTCGGCAAAGGCGTCCTCGCTCTCTCGCATCGGCCGCGGCGCCTACAAGCCTCGCCACGGGACGCGTCGTGGACGTGTTCCGCGCGTCGACTTCTCCACCTGCAGAGGCGGAGGCTGCGTCGTCGTCCGAGTCTCCGCCCCGCGCTCGCCGCGCCGCCTCGGCCGCCTCCTGCTCCCTCCTCGCCCGCTGCCGCACCTGGCGGGACGATGCGGCCGCGGCGGATCAGCGAACGCGGGAGGCGGAGGTGACGGCGTGGCGCGAGGGTGACGGCAGCGGCCAAAGCTGCAGATAGAAGGCAGTGGCGGCGAGGGCGGCGGCGGCGCATCTCGGCGCATCTCGGCGTATCCGGGCTCGCCTCCTTGGGCGCCAGCTCGTGGTCTCCGTGCGCAAACGGGCAGCGCTGCCCCCGCTTGCACCGGTACTGCGCCCAGAGCGGACAGCGCTGCAGCTTGAGCCCGCGCGCCGGAGGCGGCGCCGCGCCCCAGCCGCCCTTGCCTCCACCGCCCTTGCCGCCTCCGCCCTTGCCGCCGCCGCCGCTCCAGCCGCCCTTGCCGCCGCCGCCCCACCCGCCCCTGCCACCGCCACCCTTGCCGCCGCCACGGCCCCTGCCGCCGCGGCCGCGCCCTTTGCCGGTGAACTCGACGGGAGAGACCCAGCGGTCCTCGGCGGGCGGCTCCTCGGCGGGCGGCTCCGCCGCCGCCGCCTGGCCCTCTCCGCCCTCTCCGCCAGCCGCCGCCGCGTACTCTCCTCCCGCCGCCGCGTACTGCGCCGCGTATGCCTGGTACTCGGGGCTGGCGTAGTACGCCTCCCAGTATGCGGCGTAGGCGGCGGCAGTGGCCTCGTCCATGGGAGGGGCCTCGGTCGGTGGCGGAGGAGGCGCGTCTTCGTCGGGTGGCGGAGGAGCGTCCATGACAACACCGCGAGGCGAGCCCACCAGCGGTGCAGAGAGAAACGGTATGCGCACCTCCTAGATCTAATAGAGTCGGCCCAGAGGGGTGGTTGAGGGGTTGAGGGTTGAGGCCCCCCCTCAACCATCTGGTTGACGGTTGAGACCCCCCGTCAACCCTTTAGTTGAGGGTTGAGGCCTCCGGGGCCTATTCACAGCCTTGTTATGAGAAGAAAATAAATACGTCCCATGGCGCTATGCGCTGGTCTGTGAGAGGTTGAGGTGCGAGCCCTGGAGGCCCTGGGGATGGGGGGAGACTACCCGCGGGCCTAGAAGGCCCGCGCGCAGGGGGGTGGGGCATTGAGACCGGTCATGAACGAGTGCGCGACACGCATGTTGCTACAAATACAGTCACAGCAGCTGCTCGTCATGAGCTGCTACTGTGTGGCAGAGCCCAGAGAGAGGGCTTTCAGGAGCACTATTCAGTATGATCCAGCTCAACGTTGCGGAGTAGTAAGACTGTTCCGTTGCCGTGAGCGGCCGGCGGCCGGCGGCGGCCGGTGCGGCACGCGGAGCACTCCGTGAGCGGTGACGGGTGCGGACGAGCGAATGATAGGTCCCTTTCAGTGAGAGATAGGCAGTCCTAGTCCCTAACAACACATCTTCCACAGATAGCGACCTCTCATTCGCTCGTCCGCGCCCGTCACTGCTAGTCGGGGCACTCCCGGCGTGCGGCCCGGTCCCGGTCGTCACTCCGGTTGCTCGTGTTCACACCGTCCGAACTCAGCTCCGCTAAGGATCCAGCGTCTGAGACTTGGGCATCTTACACAACTTTTGTAGTAGAGCACAATGGCACCCTTGCATCAAGTGCATCACTTCGTTAATAGACCGTAATAGAGGTCCCCGTTTTCGGCCGCCGCGGCCGGAGAGCACCCCCGTCGCCCCCGGGGGCCCGTCGACCCCCCAGGGCGCACCCAGCGGGCCCATGAAGCCATGATCGGTATCTCGGGCCTTGCGACACATCGAAGGCTAACGAAGGCGCTCTCAAAAGAAATATCCACGAACTCGCGAACCCGGAGTGTGAGCTGTGTGCTGTGTGTCCAGCAGTCCGAGAGAGAGAGAGAGAGGGGGAGAGAGAGAGAGAGAGAGAAAGAGAGAGAGAGAGAGAGAGAGAGAGAGAGAGAGAGAGAGAGAGAAAATAAAATATTCTTACCTTCAAGCCCCCCTCCGAGACTAGGGACAGAACCACACCAGTATAGACCAGAGGGACTGCGCCTCGCCCCCACTTGCCCTGACTGCACAGGATAGCGTGCCCCGAAGACGGCGACACATAGCGGGGGACACTGCGCAAGGAGGGGGTGCGAAGCCAAGGTTGGGGTTCTGGGTGGTGGGACCAATGAGGGGGGGAGGGCGGGGTCCTGTGGGGGTGAAATGTTGCGCGGCGAATTCGAGCCTACCCCCTCGCCGCGCCGATCCTCACGCGGAGGGTAAAACCCTGTGGGACAAAACCCCTCCGCGGTCGGCTGTCTTCAGAGTGGACCCCCCCCTCCCCAGCCTCCCCT